GCTACGGCTGATAACCAAAAGGTCGGAAGTTCGAATCCACCAGGTGCTCCTTGGAAACCCTATGTGGCAGTTCTACTCTGTCCTATAGGGTCACTATGAGTCGGAATCGACTTGATGGCAATGGGTTTGGTTTGGTTGGTTTTCCAATTTTCCTAGATTCATACTTCATATATTTCATGTTCTGATTATTAATGGATGTTTGCAGCTGTTTATTCTCATTTTGAGTCATGCCACATCAGCAAATGAAGGTCCCAAAAGCTTGACTCTATCCATGTCAATAAGGTTGACTCTGCTTTGAGGAGGCAGCTCTTCCCCAGTCATCTTTTGAGTGCCTTCTAACCTGAGGGGCTCATCTTTTGGCACTGTATCAGACAATGTTCCGCCGCTATTCATAAGGTTTTCACTGGCTAATTCTTTTCAGAGGTAGACCTTCAGGTCCTTTCTCCTAGTCTGTCTTAGTCTGGAAGCTCAGCTGAAACCTGTCCTCCATGGGTGACCCTGCTGGTATTCGAATACCAGTGGCATAGCTTCCGGCATCACAGCAACACGCAAGCCCCCACGGTATGACAAACTGACAGACGCTTGGAGGCTCTTGAGCATACTTGATAGTAATGCTTTGAAAATCACTGTTGGGTAATTCCATTATCTGCCCTTCCTCAGAGATAATGTCTGTCCTCTTGATTAGGTTGTTTGCATGAGCCATTCTTTTCTGTCTCTTCATATGCTCTGTAATTGTCTGTTGTATTCGAGACATTAAGTTTTCCTTGCTTATTTATGTATTTATTTATTTTTGTTTTGCTGCATCAGGAAATTAGCTTCTTCTCCTTCTCTTTAGATTGCTCGTCTTCCTTGTTGCTTCTTTCTGGAGTTCACAGGAACTCCTGTCCTAGCCATAGTTGCCTAGCCACACTGTGAGTTTGCTCCCAGGTGAGTTTGCTCCCAGGTGAGTTTGCTCAGGTGTCTTGGCCCATGCTATGTCAACCTCACCTGTTTGTGTCTGGGTTTCCTTTTCATGTACTGTGTCCTATGTTGAGCCCTGGGTGAGCTGCCAGGCAACTGCTAGTTGTTTCCTAGACTTTTCTCTGTTGTGCTGGAAGGGGTAGAGGCAGAGTTTTTCCTGTTGTGTTTCCCAGGAGAGTTGTTTCTGACTTTGGAACATCCAGCTGGCGTGGTGTGCTTCCTGTGTTGAGACAGGAGCAGGGCACACCTGTGGTGTCAGACCAGGGGTGTGTTGCACCTGTGGCATCAGGCTGGTCAAGGCACTTCTGGTGTTGGTGTGGAGTGGGTGTGCCTGTGGCGTTAAGCTTGGATGGGCATATCTGTAGCATTAGGTTGAGGCAGGTGTACCTCAGGGGATGGGCCAAGCTGTGCATGGGTCACTTGTGTGGTGTTTCTGCTATGAGCACCCAGGTGGGGTTCCTGCCGCAGGCTAGCTGGCTCCCGGTGGGAAGTTTGGCCAATGGGCAGCTTCCACTGTAGATGGCCAGGCTAGCTGCCAGTGGACGGCTTCATGGTGAGCTTTCTCCCACTGCTTCCAACAGATGGGCTTCCTGGATGACGTGTGATTATGAGACCAATTCCCAGTGATTTCCCTTTGTTGTACTCTCCCAGGATAGGGGAGCATGAACCCACACTGTTAAGCTTTCTCTGTGCCCCTCCCCAGTGGCTGTAATTCTAGCCTTCTTGCTCCTTGCCTGGGAATTCCTGATTTTAGTCCACACCACTCTCTCCCTGAGGTTCCTGGGGCCCAACGTGATGCTATGCCCAAGTGCTACTCTCTCTCAGGCCTGCCTAGTCCCGGTACATGCACTGCCCACATTGCTGCTCTGTTCCAGGAACATTTTCTCAATCTCTCTGTCTCATTCTGTGTTCTCCACATTGCTACCTCCCTGCATCCCTTACTTGGGGTTGCTATCTGCCACCATCTCAAGATGGCCACGTTGAGCCTGCCTGATAAGTTGGGTGAGGATGGTCCTCTAACCTCTGCTTTCCCACCATGTGTATTCTACTTTCCCCTTGAGTCGGCATTCCCTTTGATTTGCCAACCCTTCGGTTGCTATCCAGAGTTCCAAGATCTTTGATTGCATCGATTCTTTGTTATTTTTTCTGATATTGCTGCAGGAGGATGTGAAGGTGTGACCAGCTATGCCACCATCTTGCCTCTCTTTCATCCTTTGATTCAAGAAATACTTGCTCTGTGCCAGGCATTGGGCACGGTCCTGGGGAGACAGGCACGTGAGGGATCACTCACAACTTGGGGCAGTATGCACTATGCCCAGGAGGGGAGGGAAAAAAGAGGAGCTACTTCTGCCTGGGCTGTCAGAAGTCCATGGGGAGGTGACTTGGAGGTATAAGAAGGATTTTCCCAAACATTGAACAGGGGTAAGTCACATTAGGAGGTAGTATGTATACGGTTAAGAGCAAGGGTGTTATATCAGAGAGACCTGGGACTAGATCCCAATTAGCAACAATGAGGCAAGCTGGCTTCTCCTTTGAACCAGTTTTCTCATCTGTCAAAATGGGTATCTTGTGAGGTTATCATAAGCATTAAATGAGAGTATGCATAATACCTAATATTTAGTCAGGGGCTCTAGAAGCTTTCAACAAACTGCAACTATTCCCATCAGTCAGAGGTTCATACTGGGCACAGGAGGAAAGCTCACAGAAGTGCCCGTGTGGGCAGCGCTGGGAGAAGGCCAGGAGAGGAAGCTGCAAAGTGTGTGTGATGCTGAAATCAGACTATTAACGACCTTCGATAACCCGGGGCTTGCAGGGAGCCACTGAGGATTTCTGAGCATGAAAGTGATGAACTCACACTAGTTTTACTGAAAAACCACACTGGGGGAGTGTAGAGGGTTAGAGGGAGGCGGGAGAGATGGCATCCAGGAGGACTCTGAGAAGGAAGCTGAAGTCTGAGCTCAGGCAGCCATGCTAGGTGCCAGGAGGAGACAGAGAGAGGAAGGAGTCGAAGGCCTGGTGAGTGTGAGAGAGGAGTGGGGCCGCTAGGGCTTCCTTGGGGTATCAGAGGCCCCTTCCTCAGATCTGAACCCCTGCCATCTCTGCTTCTAACACGGGCTCCCAGTCAACTCTCTTTACTCTCAGTCTCTGCTGGAGAAGACAGGGTTTAGCCCCAGACGGGGCATGCCACGCCTGCCCGCATGTCCCCAGCCCTTCTCCGCAGTGACGCAGGGCACAGGTGCGAGAGGAGGAGCCAGGCCCTGGACACAGACTCTGGAAGGCGGAGCGGGCTGGGCGCGGAGTGGAGGAGTCCAACTCCATGTCTCACAGATCCCCTAGCCGCCTCTGCCCTGGAAGGGTTTTATGCTGAAAGCTTTGGTGTATTTGCACAATCTCTATGAAAGATTAAGCATCTTGTGCTTCACTCAAAGCCCAAGTGGAAATCTCCTAGAAGGATGAAATCTGTGCAATGGCTCTGGGAGAGGCAGCCTGGTGTTTAAGAACCGAGGCCCTGTGATCTTGGTCAGATTCTGTGCCCTCTCAGGGCCTAAGCGTTCTGTCTGAAAATGAGAGAGTGGGACTTGGTGACCCAAGATCCCCCTGCCCTGAAAGGCCCAAGCTGCTGCTTGCGGGCCTCACCAGTCACAGAAGTTTCCTGTGACCAAAGCAATATGCCAATTTTTGGCATAATGCTGGGTCGGAACTTTTCACGTTGTTGGCCAAAACTGAATGAACTGCCTTTGATGACAGCTCTGACAGTCCTTATAAGTGGGCTTAGTCTATCAACAAAAACAGTCAGGCCAGCCGGTCCACAGAGCCACTCAGAGTACACGCTCTGAGGATATGGTTTTAGGAGAATTCCTTAGCAGGGAAAATCTTACTGTGGAAGCATAAAGCTGTTGTGAAGCTTTATGTGGGGTGAGCATCAGGGATGGCAGACCTTATCTCTGTCTGCGCCACATGAGACCATGCCAAAGGTCAGCCTCCAGGGAGAACGAATACCACGTTGCCGATTCTCAAATACAAGAACTAAAATATGTCTTCAGTACGTGATATTTACCCTTCGCTATACACAGGAAGAAGGAGTCCTAGTGGCACAGTGGTTAAAGCGCTCCACTGTTAACCGGAAGGTCAGTGGTTCAAACCCACCAGCTGCTCTGCAGGAGAAAGATGTGGCAGTCTGCTTCCATAAATATTACAGCCTTGGAAACCCTATAGGGCAGTTCTGCTCGGTCCTATAGGGTCGCTATGAGTGGAAATTGACTTGATGGCAATGGGCTATTTTTATCCCTTGCCTGTGAGTTGATTCTGACTCATAGTGACCCTATAGGACAGAGTAGAACTGCCCCATAGGCTTTCCAAGAAGCACTGGTAGATTCAAACTGCCGACCTTTTGGTTAACAGCCGAGCTCTTAACTGCCACACAACCAGAGCTCCAGAATGGTAACAGTGTGCTTAATTTTGAGAGATTAGTTTACTTGAAACCAGCCATCAGTGGATGATTTCCTCTGACCATCACATGACAATTCACTTTGTGTACCAGGGAGTCTCAGCAGCAGGAGCTTCGAGGAAGAGGGCACCCACCGTCCTGGGAGTCCAGACCATCTGGGTTTGAGTCCTGGCATCACATAGTAGCTGTGTGACCTTAATCAAATCACTTAACCTCTCTGAGCCTCAATTCCCTCAGCTATAAGATTAAACAACAAGAACAACAACAAAACCCATTGCCATGGAGTCAATTCGGACCCACAGCGACCTTATAGGACAGAGTAGAACTGCCCCATAAGGCTTCCAAGGAGCGGCTGACGGATTCAAACTGCCAACCTTTTGGTTAGCAGCTGAGCTCTCAACCACTGCACTACCAGGGCTCCAGCTATAAAATAGAAATGATAAAAAATATTCCCCGACAGGATTGTTGTATTTGGTGAGATAATCAATGTAAATTGCCTGACACCCTGTAGGTGCTAAATAACACCAGCCCTCCCCTTCTCTGACCTCTAATGTAGCCTTAGATTTCCTTTTCCTCCCAGGTGCAGACTCACCCCTGGCATGATGATCTTCTCAACATCAGTCATGATGTCCTGAAAGCTTTCTGGCTCCTGGGGGGCAGTGGCGGGGAGCAGGGGGCGCAGGTAGCCGGGCTCCACATCCGGGTAGACCTGGCGTTTCTCGATGCCTTCTATGTAGTCGGCCACATAGTCCACCATCTCTTTGCCTCTTTTGCGGAACTCACTTGCATTCATGGTGAACTACACAAAAAGAGAAAAGAAAATAATTAGCAAATGTTACAACCTCTAAACTGGAGTGGGGTAGTTCCAAGCAAGCTGACTGTTAGGGCCACTCAATCCTGGAGACCCCCTGGGTTCCCAAGCCAGGAGGCTTTTCTTCCATATCCGGATGAGATGAAAAGGACACTGCATATATAGACTGTTTGCTAGCCATTCACTTGAGGACCATGCAACGTCTTTGTTTCATTTTCCTCATCTGTAAAATGTAGTCTACCACCCATCTGTTGGTTTGTCATACTGTGGTGGCTTTGGAAATGCTGTGATACTGGAAGCTATGCTACTGGTATTTCAAATACCAGCAGGGCCACCTTAGTCCAGACTAAGGTAGACTAGGAAGAAAGGCCTAGCTATCTACATCAGAAAATTAGCCAATGAAAACCCTATGGATCACAACAGAAATTGTCCAACTCTCATGCTTTGGCCATGTCATCAGGAGGGGTCAATCCCTGAAGGAAGACATCGTGTTGGGTGAAGTAGAGGGCCAATGAGGGTGGGAGACTCTCGGTGAGATGCAATGACACAATAGCTACAAGGATGGACTCAGACATGCTAGCAATTGTGAGGATGATGCAGGATCAGGCAATGTTTTGTTCTGTTGTACATAAGGTCACTGTGAGTTGGAGTCATCTCGATGACAGCTAACAACAACAAAATGGACTGGAACCACATGTTTATTTTCATGGTCCATTCCAGCTTTAATGACAGGCATGTGTCCAAATCCTGCCTCTCTCTGGCTGTTGACAGAGCTAGGCAATTTTAACCCTTTGAATCTCTCTGTCTTTATCTGAGAAATGAAGATAGTAATGCTGATCTCTAAGGGAGGGATGAAATTATAATGGCACAAGGTATGTAGAGTGGTTAGCCCAGTGCCTGGAACATCGTAATACTTCATCCGTGTTAGAATCTTCTTCCTTTCTCTTGAGTCCATCACTAGATGGAACTGCACCTCTATACACAATCTGCTTTTCAAAAATAAGGATTTTTTTCCCCCTCTTCACATAAGTCACATGTTTTTAAAACAGGAAACTTGGACAACACAAATACAAATAATCACCTAGAATCCCACCACCCAAAATTTTGGCACGTGTCCTACCAGAATTTTCCCTATGTTTGTAGGATACAATTGTATTCTGAGCAAGGAATGCAATACTGAATTCCTCCCGTAGTTCAAGTCTTGCAAATTCAAAATTAATTTTCCCATGAGAATAAATGCTAGGAGGATAAATCTATATCCACTGTAAATAGTGATGTTGCGATCTTGACATTGTATTCCCAGCACTTTTTCCATTTTTCCCCATTTTTGACGTATTTTGTAAGGTTAAAGGTGAACCTGTTTGAGGATGCTTTGACTTTCCTCAACATTATTTCTGATATCTTCTCTGCTGAGTGAACCATGTGTCAGGCAAAGTATGGCAGATTTTAGACTGTCTTCACAACTTTTATTAGAGCAAACTCCCATTTCAAATTTATTGTTTGGGGGTACATTTTTAGCTTGTCAGTGCTTGGAGAATAAAAAATATTTTAAATTATGGCAATAGTGAATGCAAAAATAACAGCATGAGAAAAACCAAAGAGACAATCTGGAACTCTAATGGACCTTTCTATTTCATAAGCCAGGGTCCTGCTTATTAGTTAAAATAACAGGACCACATCATAATTATTACCAGTTGCCGTCAAGTTAGCTCCGATTCATGATGATCTAATGTATAACAGAATGAAAATTGCCCAGTCCTGAGCCATCCTCACAGTCTTTGATGTTTCAGCCCATTATTGCAGCCACTGTGTCAATTCATTTCATCAAGAGTTTTCCTTATTTTCACCGACCTTCTGCTTTACCAAACATGATGTCCATTTCTCGTGATTGGTCTTTCCTAATGACATGTCCAAAGTAAGCAAGATGAAGTCTTGTCATTCTAGCTTCTAAGGTTGTATTTCTTGTAAGGCTGATTCGTTGCCTCTCCTGGCAGGCCACGGTATATTCAATATTCTTTGTCAACACCACAATTCAAGTGCATCAATTCTTCTTTGGTCTTCCTTACTCATTGTCTAGCTTTCACATGCATATGAGACAACTGAAAAGATCATGGCTTGGGTCAGGCACTTCTTAGCCATCTAAGAGACGTCTTTGCTTTTTAGCACTTTAAAGATACCTTTTGTAACAGATTTGCCTGATGTAACATATCATTTGAATTCTTAACTTCCCATTTACAATCGGCTGGGCCTGCAGGCTTAAAAATCCATTTCTAATTTGGAGTGACTTTGATTATTTCAAATTTTGCATATAGAGTGAAATTTTGTTTTTACCTCAAATTGTAGTATTTCAAATTGACATGATTCAAATTCTACCAAAACTGTATCACACTGCATATCTTTTTGCTAGTTTGCTTTTTTGGCTAAGTGATTACAGGGTTCATTTCCCATGTTGATGAATACTGTTCTATCACTGATATTTCACATTGCAAATTTGCCGTATTCCCATGGTAGAACATTTGGATCATTTCCAGTATTCACCAACGTTAATGGGAAGAGCCTATGCAGCCTCCGTGATCAACACTCTGGGATCAAGAGTCGAAGGACTGAGAGTGAAATCCTGACTCTAATACTTACTAGTGGTATGAACCTTGAGTAAGTTACTCCCTTGCTAAGCCTCATTTTCCTTAGCTGAAAACAAAAATCATGATAATAAAAGCACCACCTCAAAGGTTTTTGTGTGTGTGGGATAATAAGTCCATGGAAACAGCTTAGAACAGGGGCACAAAATAAGCACGCAATAAATGTCAGTTATTACCTCTTCCACGCAATACTGAAATGTGCAACCTTGTGTTTATATATATTCTGCACACTTTGTTTCACATTAAAAATTCCTAAAATGGAGAACACCCATTTTATACTTTCCTTAGAAGAAATTCTTATAGAAATAAATGTTTTTAACATTTTTAAATTATATTACCAAATGTCTCCCTAGAATTTTTTTTTTTTTTTACCAAGTTAGTCTCCTACAGCAAATGTATAAGAATTCTCGTTTTGCCATACAGTCACCAACATTTGGTTTGAGTGCTCATTTTAAGCTGTGCCAGTGTTGTAGGGATAAATTATATGTTTTATGTTGATTAATGAGGTTGATTGAGCAGTTTTCTCGTACATTCCTTTGGCATTTGGACTTTTCTTTTAAGAATTGCTTGCTCATTGCATTCTTTTCCACTTGTTGGTTGCTGTTACGTCGGCTCTGACTCACGGCGACCTTATGTATAATTAACAAAACATCCCCCAGTCCACTAGGGTGTTAGTTATTTTCTTATTTAATTGTAAACTCTTTTACTATATCAATACTTCAGCCCTAAGTCTGTGTATGTTTTGCAGACATTTTCCTTATTTTTGTTTGGCCTTACTTTGTTTGTAATTTTTTTTCTAACGCATAAAATTTTTAACTTTTATGTAGTCAAATCTCATTTATGTCCAACTTTCCTTTATGATTGGTATCATGTGTGTAACTGTTAGAAATGCCTTTTTAGGAAGATTCTAGTGACCTCTGTTTGCCCTAATGAGGAGTGGCACACTCAGTGTGGCAAGCCAAGGGCTCGGGGTGAGGAGTTACGCAAAACCGAGAAGGACGCTTCGTTCTTGGAGTATCTGCTGCTTCTTTCTCACGGGCTGAAATAGTAAGGATGGTCAGAAGGAACTCCTCAGGGAAAAACACACACACACACACACCGATGTGCCACCAAAAGAAACATTCTTGGTCAAATTGTAAGATAAGACCTGGTTATTATTTCAAATCTTTCTGTCATTTATTTGTGGATTATTTCCCACAAAGGCCTTTCTAGAAGGCTTTGCCGCAGAGAATCTTGTGTTCATTTTATAGCTGTTTAACATTTCATAGCTCTAAGCTGGATAAATATCAGCTGGCAGATGTACACTTTCATAAAAGCTATGGCTCCTGCCTTCTGGGCCCTTGAGGAAGCTTCTGTTGACATAACTTGATCACAGAGTGGCCAGCAGCTGCACACCACAGTATTTTACATGCAGCCCCTGTTGTGCACTATTCGTGTGTGAGGAGCTGGTCTCCTGCCCAGACTTCTGGCTCAGCCCTCGTTCTGTCAGTGACAGTCGGCACAGCGCTAGTCCCACATACTTCAAGAAGATATGAATTCTTCTGTACTCGTTCATACCACCTAACTGACCCATGGGGTTACTTTTTGTAATTTAGCATTCTGCTGACATCCTTTGCTAACTGCTGTGGCTTTCTGCAAACAAGGTCCTCACCTCATTTATATCTGCATTCTCAGGACCAATCACAGGCCCTGGATCATAGTAAGCACCATTCGAATGTTTGCTGAATGATGAATGAACGAATGTAAAATCTTTACGTCCTATAAACATTTTATTTCTGAAATACAAAATACTATATGAGACCCTACTCTCTACATGTAAGACAGCCAAGATTACCACATAGCGCATATGTGCCACCAAAAAAAAAAAAAAAAAAAGCCACAGGAGACAATAATGATTCAGGAACAAGGTTCCCCCAGCCCCAGTGAATCCCATTTCAGTTCATTCCAAACCTCTAGAGCTCCTGTTTCAGTACTCACCTTGACTTTCCACAGTCTGGGCACCTGGCTTTCTCTTCTTAAGCTTAGGTTCCCCTCTTTTCTGGTCCCCGCAGTCCGCATGCTCCAAGTTGGAAATAACCCCCTCCCTGGACTACTGGAATCCAACGCCTACCACAGCCATTTGTCCAGAACCCAACCCAGACCCCTAGATGATGTCTGTACTTGGGACCTGGGTGCAGATGTTTTTGCTGGTGATGAGAAACCTAAACTGACAAGATCAATGGGTCCAACTCTTTGAGAGGGTGTGTGAGTGCATCAGCTCCTTGTGTCTTTGTTATCTATTTAGGGGGCTGGGGGGACCTCAACAAAGTACTTTATCTGTCCATGGTACTTCTTATTGTTGCA